AAATACATAATGTGTCAAGTACTATGATAGAAGAGCTGTGAAGAAGAGGAAGGCAGGGTAGGGGATAAGAGAATGATGAGGTTGGAGTAGAAGGTGTTGTTTTAGATAAGATGGTCAGGGAAGACTTCTTTGAGGCAACATTCAAGGATGGAAGCCATGTGGAGATTTGGAGAATTTGGAGAATGTTCCATGAAGAGGCAACAGCAAATACAAAGGTCCGAAGATAGGAGGGTACTTAGTGTGTTGAGGAATAGCAAGGCTGTTGTGCCTGGAGCTGAGTAAGGGATGAGGAAACTGATAGGGGATGAACTTAGAGAAGAAACCAGATCAAGTAGGACCTGGTAGGCAATGGGAAGTATTTGGAGAGGACTGTGATCTCAATTAAAAATTTAAGGAATTTCTAAAGCTACTAAGTTGAGAAGAGACTCTAAGGGGAGCAAGGGCAAAAGTAAGTGATACCAGTTAGGAAACCATCTGGTGCTCTAGGTGAGAGGTGATGGTAGCTTGGACCAGAGTGGTTGAGGTAGAGATAGGTGCTGAGAAGTCATCAGATTATATATGTTTAAGGGAATAGCCTATAGAATTTACCGATGGATCAGTTATAGGCAAGAGAGAAAAAGGCAGTCAAGAATGATTTTTGGTCTGAGTGACGGGAAGTTTCCAGTTACTGAGATGGAAAAGACTCATTGGAGGAGCAAGTTTGCTGAGTGAAGGAGTGATAGTGACTGGAATCAAAAGTTGGGTTTTGGACATGTTAGAGACACTCCTGACATCCAAGTGTAGATGTTAGGTAGACAGTTGAATAAAGAAGTTTGGAGTTCAGGAGAGAAGTCCAGGTTGGAAGATAAGTTTGGAATCATCACCATATAAATGGTATTTAGCCATGAGACTGAGATCCGTTAGGGAGTGGCTGTAGGTAGAGAAGAGAAGAGGTCTGTATTCTAAGCTCTGGAACACTCCAACGTTTAGAGGTCAGAAAGGTTAGAAACATTGAGCAAAAGAGATTGAAAAGAAATGGCTAAAAATACAAGAGAGCCAAGAGAGAAGGAGTATTGAAAGGCCAAATGGAGAAAGTATGTCAGAGATAAGTCAGTGATTAAATGACTTGTT